CCACAAGTGTTGAAACCAAATTGCCTCCTAGGCTGAATGATTCTATTATTCCTTGTTCCGCCATTTTGTTGAGTTTAGCAACCAGCAAGATTAGCATATGATCAAGGACTTTTCATGCTTGAAAATACATCGGTTGACTGTCCTCTTTAAGCCGAATACTCGCATCATATCCTCTAAATAATCCGATATCCGGTTCTACTGACTTCCTGGAATTTATCAGCTTCGATGTAGCTCTATGTAGGCTCTACCACAGACACTGCCGTATGTATAAATAGATGGATCGACAGATATATAGATGTCCTGAATATCGTGTTTAAGCACGAAAAAATCTGTCGAAGATAAGTGTTAACATCAATGTCTACTATTATATTTTATATTTGTATAAGCTCTATTCCTGATATTGAGCACTTTAACACATAAGCATAGCATATTTTGAAACTATATTTACAATTATGATGGACTCTCCCGTCGGTTTGACGTATGAGTGTTTTTCTGTTCAGTTTTAGTCATGTACCTGTCCGCGTTGACTTAACTCTCTCGTCAGTGGACTTGTTGCTCAGACGGAATAGCAAAGAAAGAACACAGAACTGAACTGCAGACTATACACACAAAAGATTTGTTTGCAGTGGTAAAGGCTTGTGTAGAACAAACCACACTATTTACTATTATTAGGGCTAAAAGAAATATTAAAAATAATGGAAGCCCTAATAATAAAAAAGAAATAGCCAATTCTTAACAATATTAATTACGAACTAAGCCACAATCTGCTAACCGTGTTCGGAATGTAAAACAGATCTATAACACAATAAAAGCATACATATAACACACACACTCGTTTAAACTGAAAAATAAAATCATCCTTAATAATGGCTAAAAGTATAGCCGAAAGCGCTCGAAACTATAGAACATTTGGACAGTTTCGACACACCATGTGTCCAAAAACGAAAGCTCTTGTGCGAACCCAATAAAAATTAAATAAAAAGATTAACCGTAGTACCTTTTCTGTCGTTTTTAATGAAACGTGCACAAATGAAAGATTGCTGCCTAATACACAATATATATATATATATATATATATATATATATATATATATATATATATGTGTGTGTGTGTGTGTGTGTGTGTGTGTGTGTGTGTATGTGTGTATGTGAGGGTGTGCGTGTTTATTAATATAATTATAAAGAACTGTTAGATTGCTGATCCGGATTTCTTTTAATATTGTTGTTTTTATTTTTAAAAACACACATATATATATATATATATATATATATATATATATATATATATATATATATATATATAACAGTACTTACCGGAAAGTGCTCAATATCTGTGATAGCTGACATATTGTATGGATATTAGTTTGTAAGCCTGGGTGTCGCGCTTTTGCGATCATCAGACAAACAGGTAAAAGATTTTGTCTGATAATCGCAAATGCTTGAAACCAAGTGTTATAAATTAACAACCATCAACTGAATTAAACAGAGAAAATAAAACTCACTACAGACAGTGCAATGTTATCCTAGTAATGAAACTTCTGCCAAACTAGGGCTAAAGCCTAGAAAACACATATAAAATAGCGATAAAGTAAAACTGAAACGTCATTGGCCAGAGGTAAGTAACCTCTGGCCAATGACGTTTCAGTTTTGACCAAAAACGTATGCAATATCAGAACCACTCAAAGGTCTAAAACTGACTAATATAAAAAAAGGAGACAATATTTGGGCCGCATTTAAGCTAGCTTCTGCTGAGTACTCTTGAATGGGCTTTCATCAAAATAGGTAGGGAGGAGTAGATATGAGAGTATACTACAGAGGAAGCTCAAAATTGACAGTATACTACAGAGGAAGCTCAAAATTGTTCGCTGAATTTTTTTTTTTAAGTATTACGACCCGAACAAGGCGTGAAGCTACTAGGATGCAGGGGGTTGCAGAAGATTTGGAGCGAGAGCAGATAGGAGTGATAGAAGAAAGGATGAGGAGAGAGATAGTGGATAGATCAAGCTAACTGGAGGTGTCGATTGACATTACATTTGAATAGTTGGAGAGTATAGCTCTCAGGGAAACAGTAATTGGGAAGGGTGTTCTACAGGCGAGAGGTGCGAGGTATGAAACTATTGGAGTAGAAGAGACGGCTACATTTAAAAGTTTCTACAGTGTAAGGGTGGGAGCGGGATGCCAGCCTCGTAGGGCGCATGAATTCATGGAGTCTGGGAACCTGTGAAAGCAGCTCATCGGAGCAATTACCATGAAAGTATTTGTAGAAAAGACAGAGAGAAGCGACGGCGCGTCTGTGAGAGAGCAACTGTAGAGGAGATGAGAGATCAGGGCCAATTACATTACATATCCGTCTCTAAGTATTGCATTAATATTTAAGGTTACCTTCTGCTGCCACTTAATTTAAAGAAAATTTGATGTACGCGCTTCCTTAATTTCGATGCAAACAATAATTTTTACTTCGTGGGTGACTTTTGGATTTTGTAATTAATTTCGATTATTCCCAAATCTACTTCTAAGTTATATATATTTTTATCGAACAACAACAAAAACAAAAAATCGTCGCAAAAAGTCACGTAAAATAATCACCGAAAACATTCATAGTAATGAAAAATTAGGCATCCAACATTTCGAAATTTTGAGGCAGGATCCAAACCGGAATGTTGTTAATTTGGTCACGAAGTCGGCCTGATTCTAAAATGGTATGATATGTTGGGCTACGACCTCTAGGAGTAAAGTTGAAAAAAGTATGGCACAGTGAGGGCACTGACATTCGCATTTATTATATAGATGTATGTATCTATGTATGTATGTATGTATGTATGTGCGTGTGGATCTTTAAGTGTATATACAGTTTTCCTGACATCGCAATGAAATCTTTTACAAAGCCTTGTTGTCAGAACGCGCATTTATTTGTTGCGAATTCAAATTCATGTGTGTTTACCATTCATTGCTTGTCTTTCAATGTGGGCATTCTGGATAGAGACAACAGCAATCCGCCCCACGCATTCACCCTCACACGCACAGAATAATACATACGCGCACACATACATGCACAGAGACATCCACGTATATATATATATATATATATATATATATATATATATATATATAAAATGTCATAAAAATTCTCGAAATTTGTTCATTTCATTTGTTATATATATATATATATATATATATATATATATATATATATATATGTGTGTGTGTGTGTGTGTGTGTGTTTGTGTATATTTCAGGCCCCAATATATATATATATATATATATATATATATTATAATTGTTTCAAAATTATAATTGTCAAAAAGTGAATCTGAAATTAAATTCAATTAATTATGAAAATGAAACTTAAAATTTGTATTTTAAGTTTGATTTTTATAACTGAATTTGAATTGAAGTCTCTGTTTTGAAACATGGGAATTTCTGTGTTGCTATGCTAATATATTTAAAAAAAAACAACAATTAGAATATTATGCCTTATCGTTGTATCGAGCAAGGATTTTTTAAAATAAAAAACAAATGCTAAGAACTCTGAATTATAAATCTCATTTTCTTTCCTATTATTTTAATATATATATATATATATATATATATATATATATATATATATATATATATATATATATATATATATATATATATATATATATATATATCATCCGCAGTGTTTCGCTCTATCACAGACTTCAGTGTGACTAGACGTCCGAATTCCGGCTGAATTGACCTCACTCGGAGATTCTACCCCTAAGCCCTCGGCGCACGGCAGGCAGGGATGAAGGTGAATTTGAAGCATATTTATTTTTAGATAAACACGCAGTCACCGAGAGGACTCGATTCGCTTTAACGAAGAGTCTTGTCACTGTCACACACACACTTCCTCCAGGGAGCTCAACTGTCACACACCCACTTCCTCCAGAGAGCTCAACTGTCACACACACACTTCTTCCAGAGAGCTCAACCGAAATAAATTTTTCAAGAGCCTATGTATTGTCATCCACAGACAGACTGTTTGGCTGTATCACAGCTCTTCAATGTGGCTAAAAGTCCGGTTTCCTCTAGCTAGGATCGAAACTCGGCTGAATTGACGTCAGTCGGAGATTCTACCACTAAGCAGTCGGATTGCTTCGTGTTTAATTCTTATTTGATATAGATAAAACGTGGGCCATATGCCATACTAACTTATCACCTGCCCTTTGGATGAGATAATTACGTAGCCGCTGTTACATCTATAGATAACCTTGACTTATTCATTCTTAATACGTTTCTATATGAAATCTAAAGCGAAATAGATTTCTCATTTATATATCAATATCTGAAAAAAAAGTGAATATACACTAAATATATGTGCATATGTTTGATATATATATATATATATATATATATATATATATATATATATATATATATATATATATACGTATTTATATTATCCATACCATTAAATGTACGTGGAGTAACAGTTGTTCATATACACAGGCAAAATACCTTTTCATGTTCTTTTAAATGTACATAAATATTTTTGGGTATTTTTTGTCGAAGCCCATACAAAGATTTCAAATCAATTTTTTCTAAAGCGAGGTAATTCATTTGATAAAAATCGATTATACATTTCAAATCAATCCATTTCAAATATTTCATTGAAAGAAACGTACGAAATCGCTTGATCAATCAGCCTCTAAACTGGAATTCTGAGTCGAAAGTCGGTCACCTTTAAATAAAAGATGTTTGGATTAAAAAATCAAAAAAAAAAAAAAAAAGAAAAAATCAAATTGTCTTTGAAATGTCCTAATCTGAAGAGTGGTGGGAAATATTAAAATAATGAGAAAGAAAACAGAAAGAAAAGGAAAACGTGAAAGGGAGAGAAAGAGAGAGAAACATGTGAAAGAAAGAAGGTGAAATGGGGGTGGGGAAGCAATAAACGAATGGGGAAAAAACGAAAAGTCGATATACAGATTATAAAAGAAAGAAAGGAAACATACATAGAAGAAAGTCATGCGCGAAAATTAAAATAAATAAAAATTAAAAGGAAATAAAAAATAAATAGATAGATTAATAGATAGATAGATAGATAGATAGATAGATAGATAGATAGATATAAAAAAGGATTCAAGCAGAAGAAGAAAGATATACATATGTACATGAAAATGACGTATGTAACTAATGAAAAAAAAAAAATGAAAAATGCAAAAAAATTAAAAAAAATTAAAAATATATATATATATATATATATATATATATATATATATATATATATATTTAAAAAAAGAGAGGTGCCGCAAACGTTTTTGGTTGTAATGTGGATTTTTTTAGAAAAGATATTATGCTTTATTTTCCATAATTTTACTACAAGTGTTTCTGGTCTCATGACCGTCTTCATGCAAAAGGCGGAGATTTCAACATATTATTAAAAATAATGAATTTTTTCCTTATGTTTTTCAATGTTAAATATTCCCGATATGAGACATTCTCTGTTTTTGTGTTAGTAATTCGAATGTCTTTCTTGAATTGGCCAATGGCTTCATCTCCTGTGACGTGAAACTTGTTTTACTTTATTTGGCGCTTTTTGCTATTCTGGCAAGCTTTTTCAAGTGGTGGGGGGCATTTTTGTTTTGTATCACCATTTTAGCCCTTGGCTGGATGATCTACCTTCCCCACAACAGTGCGGGTTTGGTTTGCTTATCAAATTGAACTCGCCCGGTGTTATAGTGATTTCCCAAGTGTAGCTTAGGTGTGGCACAAGGCCGAATGTATGGGACACCCAGTGAGGATCGAGCTTATTACTCAGTTGTAATTTTTCTAGCGACACAAGCTTGTTAACCATTACACCGCCCCGAGGTGCCCCTCACCCGGTGGTACATAGGGTATTCATCTTACACGTCATTGGCTATGTGTTAATTGTGTGAAAAAACTTTGAAACTAATAGTAGTGACCAGTCAATGCCGACCACGTTATTTGAACCAAATATGTTTGCTCTATCTCTGATATTGAGCGCTTTCTAATAAGTACCATATATATAATATATAAATAATTATTTATATATATATATATATATATATATATATATATATATATATATATATATATATATATATATATATATTTATATTTATATTTTTTCACATAGACACACACACACACACACACACACATATATATATATATATATATATATATATATATATATATATATATATATATATATATAAAACAGTGAAAAATGTGATAAAGAAAGAAAAAAAAGAAAAAAGCAAAGACAAAAAGATATACACTTGCAAGAAGAAATTCATACAGATAAAGAAAGCGAAAAAGAAGAAAAATGAAAAAAAAAACATACAAAATAAAGGTAATGCTGAAAATGAAGAGGAAATAAATAAAGAGATAGATAGATAGATATGAGCAATCATAGATAGATAGATATGAGCAAACATAGATAGATAGATAGATAGATAGATATGAGCAAACATTGATAGATAGGTAGATATGAGCAAACATAGATAGATAGATAGATAGATAGATAGATAGATAGATATGAGCAAACATTGATAGATAGATAGATATGAGCAAACATAGATAGATAGATAGGTAGATATGAGCAAACATAGATAGATAGATAGATAGATATGAGCAAACATAGATAGATAGATAGGTAGATATGAGCAAGCATAGATAGATAGATAGATAGATAGATAGATAGATATGAGCAAGCATAGATAGATAGATAGATAGATATGAGCAAGCATAGATAGATAGATAGGTAGATAGATAGATATGAGCAAACATAGATAGATAGATAGGTAGATATGAGCAAGCATAGATAGATAGATAGAAAGATAGATAGATAGATAGATAGATAGATAGATAGATATAGATAGATAGATAGATAGATAGATAGATAGATATGAGCAAACATAGATAGATAGATAGGTAGATATGAGCAAGCATAGATAGATAGATAGATAGATAGATATGAGCAAACATAGATAGATAGATAGATAGATAGATATGAGCAAGCATAGATAGATAGATAGATAGATAGATATGAGCAAACATAGATAGATAGATAGGTAGATATGAGCAAGCATAGATAGATAGATAGATAGATAGATATGAGCAAACATAGATAGATAGATAGGTAGATATGAGCAAGCATAGATAGATAGATAGATAGATAGATAGATAGATAGATAGATAGATAGATAGATATGAGCACGCATAGATAGATAGATAGATAGATAGATAGATAGATAGATAGATAGATATGAGCACGTATAGATAGATAGATATGAGCAAGCATATATATATATATATATATATATATATATATATAGATAGATAGATAGATAGATAGATAGATAAATATGAGCAAGCACAGATAGATAGATAGATAGATAGATAGATAGATATGCGCAAGCATAGATAGCTAGATAGATATATAGATAGATATGAGCAAGCATAGATAGATAGATATGAGCAAACATTGATAGATAGATAGATATGAGCAAGCATAGATAGATAGATAGATAGATATGAGCAATCATAGATAGATAGATATGAGCAAGCATAGATAGATTGATAGATAGATAGATAGATAGATAGATAGATAGATAGATATGAGCATGCATTGATAGATAGATAGATAGATAGATAGATAGATAGATAGATAGATAGATATGAGCAAGCATAGATAGATAGATAGATAGATAGATAGATAGATAGATAGATAGATAGATAGATAGATAGATAGATGCAAAAAGAAAATCATGCAGAAAAAAAGAAACACTGAGAAATACATACATAAAGACAAGATGAAAATCTCACGGAAAAAAACGAAAAAAAAAAAACAGAAAGAAATATACGCATACATACAGACAACAAGAACGTCACACGGAAAAAAAGCGTAAAGAAAAAAGAAAAAGAAAGAAAGAAAGAAAAAAGAAAGAAGGAAAGAAAAAGAAAGAAAGAGATATACCTAAAATGAACATCATGCAATTAAAAGAGAAGAACCAAAAGCTGGCATATTTTGCAGGAGCTGCTACATAAATGCCGCCTAACGTGTAGCGAATGACTTTTGCATGTGACGTCTTGATGGCTTTTGAGGCCCGCCCTACTTAAACAGACGCGACGCCATTCGTTACACGTTAAATCAAATTTTGTAGTAACATTTTCAAAATCCTTACGAATATCTCTATGGAGTTTTTCATGCGCAACTCGATTCTCTTCAAAGACTTTTACCAATTTTGTATTGCTTTCCATCAGGATGAACGATCTGAAGTTTATAGCGGGTATGCATTCTTTTGCTGAGAACACTAATAAGCTTCTGGGACAATTTTGGTAGATTCGTATATATCCAAAGAAATAATAAGACATAGAATTTGAACAAAGAAATATTAATAAATATCAGGACAATTTACAAAAATAAAATTGAGAAATGAAATGAATTGTAAGTTCAAATCAACTTAAAGCGTCTGTAGTTGATTATCTGCATTTTACAGGAGCGAAAAGAATACACCGTTATGCTATGAAAAGTCACCGAGAAATAGATCGAGTCTTTCAAATCTTATGCCGCCTGTAAATCGTTAAGGGGCGATAATTCTAAAATCTCGCCGCAGTGAGATTTTTTTTTAATCATGGGCAGTCATCCAAAAATACTCCCCACCAGATTGAAGAAGATTCTCTTATGAAATCTGATTTGTTATAGACGTCTCTAAATGCCGTGGTCAATGTATATTGCGAGCACTTTTTGTTTTGTTAGAGGTATTGAAATTTTAAGTGAGGGCATTTTGTCTGTTTGTTTGCTTTGATTTATCAAGGTAAGCAGGTTTTAAACGATCAATTGATACGGTGTCTTTCTTTTCTTTCTTTTTTAATAGTAAGATATTTTTCAATGCATTCCAACACTTTGTGTCAACCTGAATGATTTGCGAATAATGGTATTTTAACCACGTCATTTCTGAGAAAAAATATATACTCGCAGTTATGTAGATATGCGCGCAAAAGAGATTGCTTGGTCGCACATTTAGTTTAGTGTAAGCGATAACCTCTTCATTTTCTCTTTTATTTTGTTAACGATGTCCGTAGATGGTGTTGATATTTTGTGTACCTCAAAGTATTAACGGGTAATGTCAGTGAGGCTCCCCATATATAAAGATGTCTATTGGTGTTCAGTATTTCGTATTGATAGGAGACTAATAGGTAAATTATCCACCCAGTTGTATGTGTCAATATTTGTGGGTAGTGAAGTTTTTAGCTGTCTGTAGAATCCTTCCGTAATTCCATTGGCACCAGGATGTTATGTAGCAGTTCGGATATGTTTGACTCCCGGTAGGGTGAATTTTTTTCTGGAAAAGTGTGGATTGAAACTGATGCTTTTTTTATTCATCATGACGGTCGTCTTCGAGTATAGAATCCAGAGGTTAGCAGTGAATATTTCGAAGACAGTAGGAAAGTGTTGTTCAGGTTAGCAGTGGATATTTCGATAAAAGTAGCAGAGCATAGTTCGTCCTTCTGTTTCTCTTCGCCTGACAAGCTGGACTGGACATTCGGGTAGAGTGAACAAAAATGGCCGCCTTTGTACACGACGGATTGAATGTTCTACGTCTTCTGATTGGTTAACCTTCTATTGGTCGACTATAAAGTGAGTTGTCATTTGAGCTAACTCACTAGTTGCATATACACAAAAAACTGTAACAGCTTTGTCATTGGAATTCATTCAAATTCCAGTTGTCCAACACGGTTTTTGCAATAGTCTCGTCGGAGGTATTTGGAATAGGAAAGGCAGCAGGCCATCGATGAAATCGACCCAATATATTGAGCGTATAATTGGGACCCTGTGCGCTTAGAAGTGGCCCCACAATGTCTATGTGAACCTATCGTCGGGTCTCTTCAATTTAGCAATGGGCAATTTTATATGTATCCCAATTTTGTGTCTTTGTTTATGTCAGGAGATATGTTTGGCCATACAAATCGGTCTGCCCTGACTTTGCTGGCTGATCGTCTGTCAGGATGTGATAAACGTTAAAGGTGTTTTAAAATTTGTTTAAGTAATTTTTGCAACCTAGGGAAGGCTACTGGATAGAATAATCACACGAAGGTTGGTAATGAACGATAATACATAGGACACGAACAACACATATAAGATTCGCCAGCGGCGCGTAGAAGAAGTAGTCAATTGCTAGAAATGAGACAAGTGAATTTCACAATGAATGCAGGATACCTACTAACCGCCCCACGCGATCAGATGTGGCACAAGCCCGAATTTAGCATGGGGTATCCGAGTCTGTAAGCTCGGCCAAAAATTTCCCATAGACCCCGTATAAAACGGGGTCGTGTAGCTGTTGACTGAGACGAGACTCTGCTCTTCGACATAACCTCGTCTGGGGATCCTCTCTGGCCAGATGCAGAGAGTTTGATCAGCAGAGCTGGAGACGAATCTCCAGATGCAGGATATCTACCAACCGCCCTACGTTGTCAGATGTGGCACAAGGCTGAATTTAATGTAGGGTATCCGAGCCCGTAGGCTCTGACATAAATTCCCCATATATAATGTGGTCAGATAGCTGTTTCCCGAGACGAGACTCGACGCCTCGTCACAGCCGCGTTTGGAAATCCTCGTTGTCTGGATGCAGAAATTTTGACCAGCGCATATGTAGATAAATCTACATCAGATTTACATCAGATAAATCTACATCAGATCTACATCAGATAAACAGCAGATCAACATACAGTATTTACTACTGGATTTATGCGAATGGAGACATACACATCAACGTCCATAGTAATGATACAACAGCAATGATGGATGTATATAAGGTTGAGGATATTATCCTTGATACGCAAAAGTGTAGACACATTTTCAATTTTACGGCGATAGTATGGTAACTTAAATTTTATTTATTGAGGATATGGAAGTACAGGAAAGTTCATCTGCAACAATATTTTCTTCACCTTTTATACAGTGAAGGTCTGAAGTAAATCGCGAAATGTAGTCGAGATGTTTTGTTTCACTTGGAAAATATTTGTCGGGCTTCCTGTAGAGGGCATCATTGAGTGGCCTATGATCAGTAAATTCGCGTCCTTCTAAAACATAATGGTAATGTCGAAATAGATAGCGAGAAGTTCTCTCGAAAATATACTGTATTTCATCTGTGAGGAATTTACCTTGCGAGACATTTGGACTCGTTTCAAGTTCAGAAGGTCATAAAAAAGAATGGAGATCGACCTAGAAACATGTCTGTAGCTGGTTTTTAACGTTATGTGTTCATTCATTCGTGTTTGAAAAAGAAACTTTCGGTGGAAACGTATATACATGTATACGCTGAGGAGGGGTTAAGGAGTGAGAACAGGCCAACAAATGAAATGTCGCTGCTCTATCTGGGATGGTGCTGACCAGTTCTAACAATCAAGCCTTGACTGCTTTCAAAAGCGACGACGCGGCCTTGTAGGTGATGAGTTGTTTTTCACTCTTCAACTCCTTTCCCACAGACGAGAGCTTTCTAGCCTTTCGATGCACTATAGTTATTTTTATGACAAATGTTCAAGCGAGATAGTTCCACCAGATCAGACCTTAATGTCTAGGACCCACCATGCCGCCTACACGATGTCAACTCATCTTCATTCGCTTCGTATTCCATTAGTAAGGAGGAAGATCTCTCTATATCTCTAAGATGACGTATTATGATTACGTACATTATTCGGACTTATTTTTATCTTTTGCTATATTCACAAAGTTTCGGCCGTTGTACGCTACGGCTTTTTTCAGGTGATAGCAATTTCAAACCGAAATCTTTATTTCACCAGACCGGGATAGATTGTCCTAGTTCCACGTGTCATGCCTCTTCTGGATGTCTCAGTTATTTCCTTTTAACTCAACTCTATCATTTTTTTTTGGTTCACCGCTGATGTGACCTAGTATTGGACTCACAACACTTTGGGTCTAGTCACTGGTTCAATACCAGACCGCTTCAGTGGTGAACCAAAAAAAAAAAAAAACTGGTAGAGTTGAGTTATAGGAAAATAACTGAGACATCCGGAAGAGGCATGGCACGTGGAACTAAAACAATCTACCCCGGTAGACGAAATAAAGGGTTCAGTTTGGAATTCTAAACACATGAAGAAGACCGGAGCGTACAACGGCCGAAACGTTATGAATATGGCAATGAAGATGAGGATTCCGAATAATTTAAATAATGTAAATTAGGAAGTTTCACTTAGTCGGCTACTGGACGTGGATTTTATCAGCTATAAGATGATGCTTCATGAGATAGGTACAGACTTTGTATAACTTTTAGCGCAAAATAAAAACTAGTGACCTCAATTCAATGCGCTATAGCTTATCTTATTGTTGAAGCTTGGATAAGCATGGAATAATAATAATACAACACAAAATGAACGTAAACAAACTGTATTGAAACAAGGAAAAGGTACACAATATTTACAGTTAGTTTTGGTATATTCTTGGGAAGACTGTTCCTGTAGAATGGGTTGACTTAATCGCAGTCGGGCAGAGTCTCTGGATTGCATCTCTTGTTACTTCCCTCGTCTTCCCGGTACCAACCCATATTTATATGGTCGGTACTCCACTATGTAAATTAGGTGGATCCTACCACAACACTTATCTTAAACCTTAATTTACAGCACAGATTTGACAATAATTTGTTAAGAATTGGTCCGCCGAAAATAAATCTATTACTATTGTCACACGTTGTATGTTGTATCATTCCGGCGACACTGTTCCCTATTTTTGTCTTTTTCCTTCAATTTGTTTTCTATCCGGTTTTTTTTTTGTCCTAGTTACGGATTTGTGGAATATATTTATCGTGTAAGTACGTGTGTGTGCTCAAAAGTTCATAGGCTGGCTACGAAGTGATGTTCCAGATGTCAAATCTTGCATGCATTAATATCAAATTATTTTGTTATCATTCATATCAGCTTTGTTTCTTTCCAGGTAAACTGACATCTGACTATTCAAAGATGATTTCAAAAGTAAATACTAGTGACAAAATTTGGTATCGTGTTGTTATCAAGTACCTCCATCCTTTTTCTGTTTCTTATATTAGGTTTGTTTTTTATTCTATTATTTCCAGTTTTACTAGAAAACCCTTTCTTTCTTTCTCTTTTTCTTTTTCTCTCTCAATATTAAAGCTCATTATACCTTTCTTTCTTTTTTCTTTCTTTCTTTCTGTCCACTTCTATTCTATTCATTATATCAGGTTATATTTCTTTCTTTGTTTCTTTTTCTTTCTTTCTTTCCAATTTTCCTATTAATCACTTTATATGTTTCTTTGTTTCTATCTTTTTTTTTCTTTTCCAGTTTCACTATTAAGGTTCTTTCTTTCTTTCTTTATTTTCTACTCTCACTATTAAAGCAAATTATAGCTTTCTTTTTCTCTCCCTCTCTTTCTTTCTTTCTTTGTTAGTCCCCTTTTATTCTGTTCATTATATCAGGTTATCTTTCTTTCTTTCCAATTTCTTCATTAATCTCTTTGTTTCTATCCTTCCTTCCTTCTTTTCCAGTTTTCCTAAATTTCCTTTTTCTTTCTTTCTTTTTTCTTGCTTTGTTTGTTTTTTTCTTTGTTTCTTTCTTTTCTACTCTCACTATTAAAGCTCATTATAGCTTTCATTTTTTCTTTATTTCTTTCTTTCTTTCTTTCTTTCTTTCTTTCTTTCTTTACCACTCTCACTATTGAAGCTCATTATAACTTTCTTTCTTTCTCTCTCTCTTTCTTTCTTTCTTTCTTTCTTTCTTTCCAGGTTCCTTATTAATCTCTTTGTTTCTATCTTTCTTCCTTTCTAGTTTCCCTATTAATATTCTTTCTTTCTTTCTTTCTTTCTTTTTTCTTTCTTTCTTTCTTTCGTTCTTTCTTTCTAGCATCCATCTTTCCTTCCATCCTTGTGATTTAGTCAAATACTGCATATTTAACCTTTATTTCCATTATTTTATTTGCCAATTTCTGCCACCCCCCATCTATTCTCTGTGAGCTGCTCTACTCCATCGCTGCTTCTTGTTTTCGTCACTCTTTCTTCTATTAATGCTATATCCATTTACCCTGACATTAAGGTTTTTCTTTTTTCGTTTGAATGAACGAAAAAAATTGACTGCGCCTGCGCACCAATGTGCGTAATGTCGTACAAAGTTATTCTCGTTATGCGCACAAGAACCTTGATATGGAAGTTTGATTTGGTTGTGTTCGGTGCATCTGAGGAGAAAAGTTTTGTGTAAGTTTAATTTTAGAAATGAAACTTACCCCAACTCCGCCACTATCTCCAGTTCGACAAAAAAAGATTTTTTTTTAAATGGCCAACGCCCAAGATGCTTTCAACTATATTATCATCGCGAAGATAATACCCATCAAAATCGATTCACTGATATCGATCCATTTGGCAAGTGTATTGGGAGTTAGACTGATAGCCAGCAAAACCAAAGTACCGATTATGATATCGAAAAAGGTATAGAGGTAAAGAAAGAAATTAAAGGAAAAAGATCTGATAAAAACTAACAAAAAAAATGTAAATAGAAATGTAGAACGAGAACATACATGTAAATTATGGATGTTTTTATTTCTTGACTTAACGTTCTAGTAACCAATTAATTCGTGTGTAATAAGTCACCAAGTTAACATCAGAGTCCATTGCGTTCTTATTTCTGGATGAACAGCGAGAAGAAATTTAAAAAAAAAAAAAAAAAATTAGAAAAGTCCTCGAACTATTCAGTAATTTAAGTGCTACACGTAATACACGCTTACATGTCTCTTTCGATTCGTGATTGACTAGTCAGAAGAGTTTTCCGCAGTAGTTTGTCATTTCTTTCTCCGGTAGACTGATTGCCAACCAAGGCTATAGGCCACAATCTGCTCTGCTATTCAACTCATAGCTGTCGTGGAGATGAAATGTATATATATATATATATATATATATATATATATATATATATATATATATATGTATAAAGCAAATATATGGATATAGATCCTACACTATGAAGAAAATACAGAAAAAAATAGACAAAAATTTTAACATGAAATTATGCTGTATTAGTGTTAATATAAAGTCGACGTCGGACGTTTTGGTCTATTTAAGACCATCTTCATTCTAATGTTAATTATGTTTAAATAAAAATGTCCATGAAGATGGTGTTAAATAGACCGAAACGTCCGACGTCGACTTTATATTAACATTAATACAGCATAATTGTATGTTAAAATTTTTTGTTTGTTTTTTCTGTATTTTTCTTCATATATATATATATATATATATATATATATATATATATATATATATCGACTCTCCCGTCGAGATTCGACGTATGAGGGTCAACCAGGAAACCGACAGCCCGACACCGGCACATGAGATTTGATTATAGTGGTGAAGGCTTCGTGCAGGACCATCCACACTTTTGAAGGGACGAATACAGAGACCTGGTGCACCGAATGCCACAAGGTTCCCAAGCGACCCTCCGCAGGTTTTGAATTCAGAGTTGTCCTTCTCCTAGACCAGTTGCCAACCAATGCTATAGAACACAGTCTGTCCTGCTATTTTACCCATAGCTGGAGGGAGAGGAAGACGATTCATACCTTTCCCAAGGGTATTAGCACGTAAGTGAATGTAATGGATTCCGCTGGAGTTCGAATTCGGCCCTGCGATTCCTCAATCATATATATATATATATATATATATATATATATATATATATATATATATATATATATATATATATATATATTCCCCAAGGGTATTTGCGCGTAAGTAAATGTAAATAACTCTACGGAAATTCGAACTCGGTTCTTCGATTTCACCTTCCGAATCGATATTTATATTCGGTATTTTACAGACTTTTATTCTAAGGTGCAGTTTACGAATACATTTGAAGATTAGCTATAACTTTACTAAATTAATCATCGTCATTATTATTATTATTATTATTATTGTTATTTGATATCATCTATGAATTGATATTTCAGGAGGCTATTGCTATTCACGACTCAGTTCATAAACGCCACATGCAGACAAAGCATTTTCGTCAGCACATGAGCAGTTTACAAGCAGTGTTTCCACCTGCGCATTCCCAATAATGTCAGGTGTCCCCAAGTCGTCTTAACTAGAATAAACTTTCCCGGAAATAAGAATAATACGTATTATTATTGTAGCTGTATTATTATATTATTGTAATATTATAACAAAGAATAACACTTAAAAATGCCTGACACTTTAGCTGAAGTCCAGAAGAGATCATTTGTACATATACAGAAAATATAGTAAAAAGCCTAAACAAAAATATCTTGTATAATGAAACATTTTTAACGCTTTCCGAATACACAACAACTATTACTACTAATACTACTATTATTATCATTATTATTATTATTTTCTTTGATTTCTGGCGTTTACACATTTATTTCCGGGTCCCGCCCAGGGACCTAAGGTTAGAAATGGCATCATGACACTTTCCACTGGCAAAAAAAAAAAAAAAATTCGTAAAGTGTGGGCTGTACTTGTCAGAACAATTTTTTGTATCTCTTTGAGGCATGGACTTCCAGGTGTGACGTCCCCCGCCTGGTGTCGCCGCTCCCAAACGTGACGTCCGCCTGTCTGCGTCAGTCGTGCTATCCTGTCTTGTGACGACCAACTAGCTTGGTATTGGTCGCGGCACCAAATGTGACGTTCTAACCTTTCGGTGATTCGGATGGGAATCTGGTTAGATTCGGTAACAGCCGCGTCGTACCCAGCTCGCTTCCAACGTCTGGTTACCGAAGAAACTGCTTTGATTTCTAGTCTAACCTACCCACGTTGTGAATTGATCTAGGCAGACGAAATCAATCAGTCGCTGGGTCGTTCTTCAAGCTGAGTTCGAATAAGGGTGATATCGCACAAGTATATGTAAAAGAAAAGAAAATAATACCTCGAAAAGTTCAAATGTGTTAAAAAGGATAACAATATTTTATATTTGGTTGCTGAATATAGGACGACGTCTTTCTCCCAAACCGCTATATGTATTCCTGACACTTTGTTTTTGTTAGGCGAGTCTTAACATCTTAAGTTGTCTGTTCTTTTAAGAAACTGGTTCTTGGTGTGTCTTCAGGCGATATTCGTAAAACTTTTATTGGTGGTGTGAGTCTACGTCGTTCTTCAAAAATAACTTGTTCTTGGTTAGAAGATGAGTCGGAATTGCGTGAATCTTTCATGTCAGCTCTGCGAGGCTATTAACTCTGCAACTGTCTCTGCCAAATGCCAACTCCAACCGGATCTGGATCTGGAACTGCCCGAACTGATTTTCGCTCGCTGCGACTTTGCTTATATAGACGCCGATCAAAATCGGGGTGGTCTTGTCGGGGTTTGAGGTTACTTGATAATTCCAAACCCACAATCCACTTCCTTGTCTTCGGTCAGGAAAATTTTATTAATTACCATTTTTGGAAGTATCTTCGTCTTCCCAGCTCCTTTTGTTCTCATATTGGTATCTCACCATGCCCTCAGAGGGTGTCAACGGGTTTCCCCTCTCTCTCACAGTGGCATCTCACACCTATCCCCTCAATGGGTGCCAGCAGGCCTCCCGCCCTGCCTCACATGATCACCTCCGCCTGGCTCTTGTTATCATTCAGCCAATGGGCACTCAGCAACGTGGGTGTGGCCAGACTAGTCTTGTTTTTTTAAAAAAATCTTGCTCAAAGAAAAAAAAATCTTATCTTTTATTTTCTTTTTTCACTTTTCCTTTTCTTTCTTCCCTTCGAGGAAAACTCACACCCTAGACTTTTTATCTTTTAACCGAATTACCCGGAAGTCGTCAACGAAATTTTTGCCAATTAACAAGTGGGTGGTCAACCAGACATACTCACTCTCCTGGCGCCAACCACTGATACGATAAAACAATTCCGCCAATACACAGCCGAATTCATATGGAAGTCGTCAAAGAAATTTTCGCCAATTTCTCATAAAATAGTTTCGCTCTCATAGCCGAATTTCAACACACAATATCTTGTCCAAACGATATCTTCCCATCGACAAAGGCTTAACCTATGGTTTTGTTTTTTGTTTTTGCAACTCTTGTGTGGTCAACGAACATTTTTGTTTCTCGGTCAGTAGATGACCTATTTAATTTTTATCTCTTTAGAATTCTGTGTTAGCTCCAAATGGCATTCCCGTGAAAGAGTTTTATGTTTATCTATTTAGAATTCTGTCTCTGGGGTTATTTGGCCAACCTGGAACTTCCACCCGACCCGTAACCTAAATCAGATTATTTCCAGTATCTTCTTTTTTTTTTCTTCTTGACAATAGGAAATAAAAAAAATTTACCACTTTTCCTTGTCAGAAAAATAACACCTCTTAGTGTCCTTTTCGTGATGGCTTTTTATCATCTAAATTTAATTCTCGCCTCTCTTTTTTTTCTTTCCTTTTTCTTCTCTCCTTCCAGCAACCCTAAATGGTGTCACACAGGAATCCCTTCAATTATTCTACTGCAATTTTTTCCAACCATTCCTAGGGCTTCAACTACAACAGGGATTGTTGATGTTCCCAGATGCCACATATTTGAGTTTTCTATTTCAAGGTCCTTGTATTTTGACAGCTTTTTGAATATCTTCAAAGATACATTGCAGTCAGCAGGGACTGCCATATCAATAAGGAGTCACTTTCATTATTATTATTATTATTATTATTATTATTATCTATATAATATATGCGAATGCCAGTGTGTTTTTGTGTCACACTTTTTAAAGGGACACAACTCACTAATTTTCAATAGCTCATCTTATATAAAATAAATACTAACATCACTGTTTCACTCTCACCTTTATTGAGCTTTACTCCTAGAGGCCTTAGTCCAACGTATTATACCATTTAGAAATCAGGCCGACTCTTTGGGCAAATTAAAAAAAACAAACAATCGGGGTGGATGCGGAGCTGCATTCCTGAAAATTTCCATTCCCAAGTTTTTATTACTGTGATTGTTTTCAGCGATTTTTTTGCAATTTTTTGCGATTAAATTTTAGTACTTAAAAAAAAACAATTTGGAAATAACTTTGGGAATAATCGAAATTAATTTCGAAATCCAGCGAAAGTCACCCATGAAATAAAAAGAATTGTTTGTACGGAAAGTAAGGACCTACGTACATCAAAGAGTCTTTAAATTAAGTGGCGGCTGAAGAATTATCGTTGAACTTTTAAAAGGCAAGCTTAAATTTTAATGCAGCAAACAATTTTGAGTTATTTATTATTATTATATTTATTATATATTTATTGTTGCCTATCGCATTTACTCCTTCTTACATATTGCAATGAAGACCCAGTGAAGAGCCCATCGCAGAAACTAGATTAAATGATGCCCGATAGGGAAGATTTAAGCTTGTTTTTTATATTTATTATAATTCCATTAGCAATAATATTCAATTTAACCGTTTCTAGAGAATTATATTAAATTCGTAAAAAATACATGTATTCTCAAGAGATTTCGAAAATAAATTTTAACTGATTAACAAAAAAAAGATAATATTTTGATACGTCATAATACGAAATTAATTCGAAGATTATTCCATTTTAGTGACATGATTATGTTCACTTCCAGAGATCACTCTTATGTGTCAAGCGTAGAATTTTCTGGTAGAAAAATTAAATCTTTGACTTTTATTTGTGTTTAGGGGTTTTGGTTTGGGTTTGTTTATCGGCATATCAACTCCTTATGGATTATTTAATGCCGTAATTCATTTTTCTTGGGAACTTTGGTCATTTAGCCCCCAAAATTATTGGTGCTATTCATACAATAATACTGTATTTTTATATTTTCATAATGTTTCGACCCCAGTTCTGTCTCGTATTTTTGGCTGCAAAAGTTGGTTCTTGAGTTCTAATATGGTTTCTATAGAATCTAATAAATTTAAATCTCGTTTCTTTCATGGTTTAATATGTTTATTTCTGTTTTATTATTATTTGTCTAATTATATCATCCAGTCCTTTGTTGTTTCTATGTATGTTAATAAGGCAATAATTGTCTTGTATGAGAATTCTAGCTTCCATCTTCTTTACAGAGTATGTATAGATTATCTGCATCTGCTTTTTGGATTACTATTATTATTATTATTATTATTATTATTATTATTATTCCTTTGATTTCTGTTGTATACTGTTGTAGCCTAGAAAAGGTCATTGAATGAGGAATAACTAAAACGGTGGTTGAAAATGAAATGGTAATCTTTATAAAATCAACAAAATACAATACTCGTCAGCGGAATGAAATAGGTAAACCACTGCTAGTGGTGGACTACTTAGACATCATTTTACTCTCGCTTACATTAGTGTCCAACGTATTTATGAGTATTGGGACATAACCATTAGTGTTCATTCGTATAGTATATAACATTTTCCTTCCTTGCTACTTTTCTTCCTTTCGTCCTTCCTTCTTTTGTTCTTTTCTTTATTCTTTCTTTCTTTTTGTATGCTTCTTTCTAAACCTCTTTTCTATTTTTACCGTATTCTCTGCCCCAATGATGTTTTTCTTCTTTCTTTCTTTCTATGGTCTTTAAGTCCTATTTTCTTTCTTTCTATCTTTCTTTACTCCTATAGTCTTTAACCGCTATTTTCTTTCTTTCTTTCTTTCTTTCTTTCTTTCTTTCTTTCTTTACCCCTATGGTCTTTAAGCGCTATTTTCTTTCTTTCTTTCTTGACCCCTATGATCTTTAAGCCCTATTTTCTTTCTTTCTTTCTTTCTTCACCCCACCCCCGTGGTCTCTAAGCCTTATTCTCTTTCTCTCTTTCTTTCTTTCTTTCTTTCTTTCTTTCTTTCTTTCTTTCTTTCTTTCTTTCTTTCTTTACCCCTATGGTCTTTAAGCGCTATTTTCTTTCTTTCTTTCTTTACCCCTATGGTCTTTAAGCGCTATTTTCTTTCTTTCTCTTTTGACCCCTATGATCTTTAAGCCCTATTTTCCTTCTTTCTTTCTTTCTTTCTTTCTTTCTTCACGCCCCCGTGGTCTCTAAGCCTTATTCTCTTTCTTTCTTTCTTTCTTTCTTTCTTTCTTTCTTTCTGTCTTTCTTTCTTTCTTTCTTTCTTTCTTTCTTTCTTTCTTTACCCCTATGGTCTTTAAGGGCTATTTTCTGTCTGTCTTTTCTTTCTTTCTTTCTTTCTTTCTTTCTTTCTTTCTTTCTTTACTCCTATAGTCTTTAACCGCCATTTTCTTTTCTTTCTTTCTTTTTTCTTTCTTTCTTTCTTTCTTTCTTTTTCTTTCTTTACCCCTATGGTTTTAATCGCTATTTTCTTTCTTTCTTTCTTGACCCCTATGATCTTTAAGCCCTATTTTCTTTCTTTCTTTCTTTCTTTCTTTATTTCTTTCTTCACCCCCCCCTCCCGTGGTCTCTAAGCCTTATTCTCTTTCTTTCTTTCTTTCTTTCTTTCTTTCTTTCTTTCTTTACCCCTATGGTCTTTAAGCGCTATTTTCTGTCTTTCTTTCTTTCTTTCTTTCTTTCTTTCTTTCTTTCTTTCTTTCTTTCTTTACTCCTATAGTCTTTAACCGCTATTTTCTTTCTTTCTTTCTTTCTTTCTTTCTTTCTTTCTTTCTTTCTTTACTCCTATAGTCTTTAACCGCTATTTTCTTTCTTTCTTTCTTTCTTTCTTTCTTTCTTTTTTCTTTCTTTACCCCTATGGTCTTTAAGCGCTATTTTCTTTCTTTCTTTCTTGACCCCTATGATCTTTAAGCCCTATTTTCTTTCTTTCTTTCTTTCTTCACCCCCCCGTGGTCTCTAAGCCTTATTCTCTTTCTTTCTTTCTTTCTGTCTTTCTTTCCTTCTTTCTTTCTTTCTTTCTTTCTTTCTTTCTTTCTTTCTTTCCTGATCCCTATGATCTTTAAGTGCTATTTTCTTTATTTCTTTCCTTCTTTCTTTCTTAACCTAGAAAAAGTTACTGAATGAGGAATGATCCAAACGAAGGATGGAAATGAAATGGTAATCTTTATATCACCAACAAAATACAATACCCGCCAGCAGCGTGAAGTCGGTCCACCACTGCCTGTGGTGGTCGACTTAGCATATTACAATATTTACCTGCCTCCCCATGATGTAGGATCCGACACAAGGCCAAATTTAATGTGAGGTAATCCGAGCCCGTGAGCCCAGGCAAAAATTGCAAGTAGACCCTGCATATGCGGGATCGGGTATCTGTAAACCTCCCCGGACGAGACTCTGCTCTTTGGCATAGTCTTGTCCGATTTCCTCTATGCCCAATGACAGAGAGTTCGACACGGCAAGAGCTTCCCACGTTTCCAGCCCACGCTACCAGCTTAGGCAGCATATTGTCCCCACTTACAACAGTGTCCAACGTATTTATGGAGATTGAGGCATACCTATTAGTGTTCATAGGTACGCTATATAACATATATAAATTTCCTTACTTGTATAACCAGAGAAATAAGGTCAGAAATAGCTTCATGACATTTTCCACTCATCATTTTTGTTTAAAAATATAAAAGAAAAAAACACCTAATATCACACAGAGTTTGCATGGATAACGCTCTTCGTAACATGGGAGATGTACTTGTGAAAATAATTTTTTTGTATTTCTTTAAGGCATGGCCTAAAATTAATCTCTTCAATGAGTCAAGCAAATCCTTTTTCAATCAATCCAATGGCTCAAACTAAAACTGGAAGTGTTGATGTCCTCCGGTCCCAGAATTTTTACATTTCTACTTCAAGATCACTGTATTTAGATCATTTTTGAAGTACACCAAAGATACATTACAATCTGCCCATAAGAAAACGCATTCTGTTTTTGTCGTCTTTGATTACGATTTTTGAGCAATTAGCTTAGATTGTACTCTGAGTAAAAGGATATATAATTAAAATAGTTAAAATATAAACAATTCCGAGACATAAGCAGTGGAAATTGAACAGTTTACCCCGTTAGATTTAATAAAGTGCTCAGTTCAGGATTTGCTGTAGGTTACCCAGATCATTATGCACCTGAGGAAGGCCGCTGTATACAAGGGCAGAAACAATATGATAAAAACAAAGATGAGGACAATAGTCTGAATATGAATTATGAAAATAGTGATAACTCCTCATCCCATAAATTTAGACAGAAGTTAAAATTAATATTATTATTATTGTTTTCATTAATGTTATTGTTATTTTTGTTGTTTTTTTTTGTACAAAGAGAGAAATCAACGCTAGATGTGACAAGTACCAATAAGTACGTTCATTTTTTTTTTTTTTTTTTTGTAATTCACATATTTGAGGGATGCCGCGAATTTGATTCACGTGTTTGTTTGCTGCTTTGTATATCATTCTAAAAGCACCAGTACCAACAAGTAGCATAGTCGTCTTGAAAATGCCACATTGTACGGCGTTCTATCTACATGTCCTTATTAAATTCACTTGGTTTTAAAACGTTTTCGAAGATGTAATTTTTGCCAGCTGGGGCTGCCATATCTATCAGAGATGCAACATGAAATTTGGCAATTGGGTCCAGTCGGATTGCATTGATTTTCATATAAGTCTGTACGTTGAATTTCCAAAAGATTGTAGTATCATCTTTCTAATCGACTTGTGGAGGCTTATGTTCCGACCAATTCTTTTTTGCGAGGGAGGAGGAATATGCGACATATTATTATTATTATTATTATTATTATTATTATTATTATTATTATTAAGTAGAAGAAATCTGAAAAAAATGTTTTCTGCTTATAGCTGATTCGTTAATTTACTTTTTCCTCATTTCGTTTTCTATTCTTTCTTTTTTTTTATTCATTTTTTTTCTGTTTTATTTTTCTCTTCATTCTTTTTCTTTTCTCTTTTCCTTTCTCTTCATTCTTTTTCTTTTCTCTTTTCCTTTCTCTTCATTCTTTTTCTCATATTTCTTTTTCTTTTTTCACATTTTGTTTGTTCTCTTTTTTCTTTTACTCTTTCTTTTTCTCGTTGTTTTTCTTTCATTTTCGTTTCATTTTTTCCCTTTTTTTTTCGTCATTTTTCTCTCCTTTTTTCTTTTATTTTTCTTTTATTTTTATTTTTATATTTTTCTTTTTCATTTTTCTTTGACTGCTTTATTTTTCTTTTTTTCTTTTTCTCTATTTTTTGACATTTTCTTACCTCTTCGCATTTACCCCTTCAAAATATTCCCCGATTCAAAAACTTTTTTTTTTCAGTTTTCTTTCATTTCAATTTATTACTTCAATTTTATTCTTTTTTCTTTCTGTTCGAATGCATTTTCTCGACAGTTGATATTTTTACTCACAAATTTTTCCAGTGTTTGCTTTTCACTATTCTTCTATTCTAACCTTCCGAAAGAAAAAGAAAAAATATCGGATCCTAAACATTTCACTCAATTATTTTAATTCGCCACTTGTCGTGTATATTTTTCTTCCGGCTTCTTAAGTCTTAATATTTTACAATCTGTCATTTTCTCCCAGTGAATATAAGCTTTTTTTTTCCTTCATTATTTCTGGGTTTTTTTTCGGTGTTTTATTTGCTTCACATCTTGCCTTTCATACTTGACATGCGTCGACACTGAAACTGGAATTGGCGTGACGTGTTCAAATTCCGCCACAGCATTATCTGTTCGCATTCTCAATTGTGACCTTGGGAAAAGAATGAATTCATTTGTACTTCACGTAGATATGGATTAAATAAGAGAATTGAAGAGGATCTCTAGCCATGTTTCACAACAAGTCTAGGATAAGGACAACTCTGGATAGAAAAAGAAACATGGAGAAATCAACGGAAAAACAAATTCAAGAAATTTTCCGTGTAGTAATGTAAATTATCAGAGAATAAAGAAATCTGTGAAAAGGCACGATGACCAACTCAATTAATGAACACCGTTTTACAGACACACGTACATAAGTTAACACCAATAAGCTAAGTGACAAAGTATATATTTGTATTAATTTCATGTATACATATATGTGTGTGTGCGCGCGCGTGTGAGTACACATACACACACACACACACACACACACACACACTCACGCACACACATATATATTTTTGAAACATGGTTACAACTGTGTAGCGGAAAAACATATTTTAAATCAATTAATTTACAATATTAATGCTCTGTAAATTTACATTGAGCACAGCACTATTTTGTAAAAATAAAAAATATCTATAAGAACACCGGAGTATATATCTTACTGTTCTTTTATTATATATATATATATATATATATATATATATATATATATATATATATATATATATATATATTATTAATCGCAGGATTTTTCAAACTGTTTATGGTATCAGTTTGTAATGAAATTCTAATACAGAGTACACCACAAACTGATATCATAAACAGTGTGAAAAATGCTGCGAATTTTTAAATTAAAATTCGTAGGGGAAAATGATCATTTACTAAAGTTATCTTAATTCCAATTGTAAAGAAAGTTTTCCTCTGTTTAATGAAAATTAACATTCAGCGCTCTTTGTGAGTCAGTTTTAACATATTTCAAATTCTACGTTGTGTTATTATTATACCAACGGATTACTATATATATATATATATATATATATATATATATATATATATTTTTTCATATCCTTTTCTGCTCTTATCAATATCACCTTGAAAATTGCGCCGCTGTTAAGTAGTTTCAAGTGGCATTTTTTTATTTTGTTTTTACAATAAATTATTATTATTATTATTATTATTATTATTATTATTATTATTATTTCCATTGATTTCTAGTGTGTACACATGCCCAGAGACCTAAACTTAGAAATGACATCATGGCATTTTCCACTGACATATATATATATATATATATATATATATATATATATATATATATATATATATATATATATATATTAAGAAATGGACAAAGTCCGACAATTTATTTATTAAAGACATTTTTATGTTTAACGTTTTTTTTTTTATAGATACAAGTATTTAAGTAAATGCTCTGTTTATAAAAAAACAATATTAAATAACCTTTACCGGCCTGAATGTCTGAGAAATGTTCATAGAAAATATTCGTCCTTTGAAGTTTATAAGCAGTAAATTCGACCTTGTCTACCGAACGCTCCTTTGTGGCCGGTCGGTAAGGCACGTCAGCGTAAATGACGGTTCCGTATAGGATGCAGGTTCGAATCCTGTCAAAGGACGAATATTTTCTATGAAAATTTCTCGGACATTCAGGCCGGTAAATGTTATTTATTGCTGTTTATTATAAAACAGAGCATTTACTTAAATACTTGTATCTATAAAAAAGAACGTTAAACATAAAAATGTCTTTAATATATATATATATAGATGAAGTCCTTTATAAGGTGTGGGCTGTACTCGTGAGAACATTTTTTTTTGTATTTCTTAAGGATATGGTCTTCCAGGAATCCCTTCATTGAGTCTACTGGAATCTTTTACAACCAATCCGAGGGCTCCAACTAAAACAAGAATAGTTGATGTTCCCATGTGCCAGATTTTTTGATTTTGATTTCCAAGTGCTTGTATTTTGATGGCTTTTTGAAGATCTTCAAATATATATTGCAGTCCGTAGGGACTGCCATATCAAGAAGGAGGCACTTATTATTATTATTATTATTATTATTATTATTATTATTATTTCTTTGATTTCTGCTGTATGCGTATTTTCTTCCTGGTACGAACTAGATACCTAAGCTCAGAAACGGATTAGAAAATAATAAGATCACACACATTTCACATAGATAAAGCTTTTCGTAATGTGTGAGATTGAGTTGTGAGTACGATATTTTGTATTTCTTTAATGTATGGGCTACCAGTTATCCTTTCAATGAGACTATCAGAACCTTTACCAAAAATGTCGATGCCTTCCCATACAACTAGAATTATTGATTTCCTGCTGGTCCACATTTTTTAGACGTCTACTTCAACATC